AGGAAGGGGACTGTAACTTTGAGGCCCAGATCTGTGGCTACAGTATACTCCCAAGAGCAATGCAAGCGTCTCATGGACTTTTCACAATAATGGAAAGTATCCTGAAACTTTTGTATTTAGAGTGTTTGAAACCCTGCTGCTTTCTGAGTTCCAGTGGTATCTGCATGTGTTTCCAAACAGCCTGCCTGCCTTGCTAGGTTGGTTTTTTTTTGATTTCTTGATTGCCAGTGAAACAATTAAAATCTGCTGAACTCCAGACCAAGTGAGTGATTTTTGTTAAGATGGTACATGTCAAGAATAAAGATAGGCAGTGGCTTTTCTGGAAGGCTGTCAGATTGGAGAATCCTGAAAAAGCTCTCTCAGGCTTCAGATGACCCCATTTCTTCATATGGAAGCGGATGGGCAGTGCTGCATGACCTAACTCATGTGGCACACTGCCTGCTGCCAGCCTACGAGGAAGGGAGCAGACACAGCGACAGAGCAGAGACGATGGCCAGACATGCGGAAGGCTGATCCTCACAGCACCAGTCATGCTGAAGGAAAGGATGAGGCCCTAAGACAAATCCTCCTGCCCTGTAATGTGTGTGGCAGGCATGGGAAGGCAACTATGACCTCTGCTTCACACGTAGCACGGGGTGGTTCCATGGGGAACTGCTGCATTACATATCAGTCTTTGCGTTTCAAGGTGACCCCCTCAGATTAACTCACTCCATCCTTCTACTGCCAGCACGTAGGAATTAGGTGCCCTCTGTCATTCATTTTAAAATGATTACACTCAGTGCTGTTGAAATAGCTAAGCCACATACAGAATTAAGTACTCCTTAAACTTGGGTTGACAAAAGTTTCTTTACACCATTTCAATCTCCTGTGAATCATGCTGTTCCTATGCCAGGGACCGTGCGCAGATAACCTTCATTCCAGCTGTGACAATGAACCAAGTGTTTACATGGTGCCTTTAAAAGTCTGGATAAGCCAAAAAGAAATGTACACTTCTGTGAAATTTAGGCAATCTCATGTGTCCCTCTGATGAGGTAGTAGAAAGCAGTGCTTATCACTTTAGATAACATGTCGTTTGAAATTTCTACAGTAATTTCCAGTTGTAGTGCAAAATACTTATTATCTTATTATGGCCTTTTGAAGTATAATAAATGCTACTTCTTCAAGGTATTAAGAGAGATTAAAAAGTATGTTTCAAAATTAAGCACTTCAAGTAGAGATGTTTATTTTCCTAGTAGAGTTCTTATTTATGCAAGTTCTTATTTATGGAAGAAGTTGAGCATGCAGGTGATAAAGGGCATGCATGAAGAGCACACAGATTGCCTTCACTCTAGAACACTTGGCTTTCAACTCACATAACTCAAAGTTTATTTGCTTCCTTCTGCATGTTTTCTTTATGATCCTTTTAAATTATACTACTTGGCAATTGCTGTAATTCTCTCCCTCTCATCCTGTCTGGGCTTTGCAGTCCCAGATGCTGCTGGACTGATCCCATGTACTCAGGGCAGGAAGTACTCTGGCTTCCCAAATGCCAAGTATTGCATCCACAGGGATTTTCTAGCTGACACATTTGGTCATCCTGTTCTTTCATTTCTGACTGGAAAAGGAAAGTACCAAATGCCTGTGGTGTCTGTAAGAGTAGAAAGGTTGGCTGAATGGGCAATTAACTGTCCCGAAGAGTTTAATGGGGCAAACCCAGCTGAGCCAAACTCTGTAAAAATGTAGTATGAAAAGCAGATCATTACACAGAGTAGAACCAGGATGGTCTCACCTTCTTTCTTATCCATTTTGCTCCTTTCCCAAGTCTGCTCCTCACAGAGACTTGCTACCACCAGGTAGTTCCAGTGTTATCTAAGCCAAAACCTTTGGGATGTTTACTACTAGAGCTTTTTGAGGATGTGGCACAGAATAGCAGGAAGAGGGTGTTACGGGGACAACATTTTGCTGCTTACGTAAACAGATAAAAGAAGTGGAAACACCTGACCTTTATCACGGCAAGACTGAATAGAAATAGGTGCAACAAAGAAAACTTCATTCTCCTGCTGAAGCTAAAAACTTCCAGGACAATTTTTTCCAGAGGAGGTCACAAGAACCTTTTACAATGCAATGTGACAAACAATCTAAAGTTCTTTCTAACATAGATGAATATATAAATAGGAGTAAATGTGTGCAGTAACCGAGCATTACAGTCTTCATTCCTGTTTGTGAGCCAGATCTTTGCAATGAATTAGCATTCCTTGGCTGAGTATATGGCACTGACCAACTTACATATTTGCAGAAAATCTGGCCCCAGAGTCTTCTAAACTTTAGGTTAACTTGCCCTGGAGAAGTAAAATGTACAAATGGTATTGTCTTAGGAAGAGTGAGTCCCCCCCAAACAGATGTTGAAGAGCCCTCACAGAAAAAATATTTGCATTTTTATGCTTTTTATGCAAATTCTTCAAAACTTTACTGACTCTTAAATTCAAATATCTGAAAAAAGAGAATATCTGCAGTAAGACATATATTACACAATTTCCACAAAGGGATCATCTTAAATTAAACATTTTTTGTTTCATGTAAGCCTTGCAAATTACAATCATTCTAAAAGTCAAAATAGCTTAGCCAGCTGTTAAAGAAGTGCATACATTCATCATTACTGAATGCATTACTACTTAAAACATACATAATTCCAAAATAATCTCCTTGAAACAAAGACAGCAACAGCCATAAAACATGCTGGACCTGAAACTGGAGACAATTGTTGTATTAAAAATCCGAAAAAATGCATTTCAATCATGTCCAGTCTTATGAATTCTAAAACACCCTGGAATGCCATTTGGCCTTCATGATTATTGTGTGTTTTATCATTGTAAACAGAGCTTTCTGAACATTTCTATAAAGTCTGTTTTTTGAATCAACATTTAAGCAATCAGCATTACACCTTCTTTCCTTTGATGTTGTGCTAGTTGTGTGCAGACTCTAAGTGGCATAAAATAACAGGATTTTTTTTTTATTTGAGAAAAATAATTTAATCACAGAAAAAAAGCTGGACTTCAGAATGACCTCAGGTATCAGTTTTGTTGACGTGAATGGCAGAATTTGTGGTCTCCTTTTCCATCTCAGGAATTGAAGAATTTTATGTGTCATGGTTGTGATGCATTGATCAATAAAACAACAGTCATTTACACTGCAAGTTTAGTGCAGTTTCAAATATCTGCATTAACCAAGTCGGTAGCTGTAGCAGAATCAATAGACAAGGCATTTTGCCTATTGTAGTGTGGATAAACGAAGTATGACTAAACTTTTAACACCCAATGAATACAGATTAAGATGATAAAATATGGATTTTATATGTAGGATGTGTTTTTCAAGCAGTGTGCTTGGGAGTGGAATGTACTATAAAATGTTAGAAGTATTAAGAAATTCTTACTTTCATTTTCACTCCGCTTCACTCAGCATTTACACTCTAAGTTTGCAGTCAGTCTTCATTTTATTTTAAGACCTGTTGCAAAGGACCTCGGTAAATTTGCTGCTGTGTGTTCAACTGTCAGTTCTACAGCTTCATGTCACTTTAAATCTCTCCTCCTATTAACCATTCATCCACTTATTTGGCAGACTTTCATCTCCTAACGAGCTCCCTTCTATTGTCAGTGAAGTTTCTGATATGTCACTACTGCCACGAGAGCCAATCACCTTTAGTTCACAATGTAGATAAAAAGAATGAAACCATTTTTTTATTAATAGCCTAATACGTTAATGTTTAAACAATGACTTCAACTTGTACCATTTTCATCCAGATGCATGAATTCAGAAGGACTGCACTAGAGCTTTGTGAGATAAAGTCAGACAAATATCAAATAATTCTGTTTCTAATCTAACCTGCTAAATCAGTTTCATTAAATGTGCTCTAATATTTGCTGCTTTTTTCCTCAGGTGGTTCAAACTCCTGTCATGTGCTACATTTTCTTTTTAAACAGGTGCCTGAATGAACAATTGGACAGCATTTTCAAAACACAGACCTATGTACATATAATATATCTAAGTAACAGTAAATGCTCCTAATCATATGAATTGTATGAATATTCTGAAGAAACCCGAAGAGCATTTATTTTCATTCATGCATATACAAGCATGACAGATCTGTATTTCCCAGATGAACAGAAATTATCAAGAACTTCAGCACCAGAATGAAAATATATGATAGCCACCCAGTATAGATGGAAACTCTTCCTACAGTAATGGAAGAATTAAGGAGGATACACAATTACCCAAAAGGAAAAACATCCTAATAGCTGTGAAGAATCTCTCTTTCTCTCATCTTCCTTTTTGTTTATTCAGAGTATTGAGCTCATTATTGGTTCTCATGTAGAATAATCTAACAACTTCTCTGTCTTCCTCACTGAAAATCAGGCATCCTTTACTTTAATCATGAAGAACTTACACAGTACCATGTATTTGGCAGGAAGATAAACCTATGAAAACTGGAAATTCATTAATGGATACTATACAACACTAAAGAATCCGAGACACTGGTTTTAAAGGTTGCTTTTTAAAATTATAATTTCTGCTATTGTGGTCAAATAATGTAAATACTTTATGAATGCTACAGTACACACTGTTTAAATTGGCTAACTTACTAAGAGTTGACTACCTTAAATCTGTGAAGTAAACAAGAAAACTGAATATTAAAGACAGTAGCTCAGCATAAAAAATGTGATATGCCCTTGAACTTATAACACTGCAGTAAGCAATTACCTTAAAGAAGCCACCCACACAACAGAACTATGGCTTTGTTCCTTATCTTCAAAGAACAAGCCACTTGCATCTGGATCAAATCCTTTAAACAATACATGAACACTCAACATCAAAGCACTTTCATTTTCTTCAGTTATTTAATTTAATTAGAGCTAATACAGACATGAATTTAGACACTGATTGCTGTATAGAAAATCCCCAGAAAATATGCTCAAGAAATCAATCAATTTGGTTTTTAATTTCATAAATTTTTTTTCCCCCAGTACCTGACAGGAGCGCCTCTGCTCTGTGCAGGTTTCAGCAAGACTGTCACAGTGCTGTCAGTTTGATTCAAAGGTGTTTCAAGTTCATATGGTGGCATAGAGGGTGCTAGAATAAGAAAAGAAGAGAGGAAAATAAAATCATTATTCTTGTATTTCTTCTTTCAAGAGCTGTATCTTTATTTGAATATGCAATTTTAAAGGCTTCTTCAAATACAAGGAACATACTACAAGTCTAAGATGTTTTCTGTTACAATGCAAGCGTGAGATGAGAATCCATGACTTGGAAATGAAAAGTTATCTTAAGAACAGCATCTGCAAATGTGCATGCTGAAGTGACTTGTTTTTGAAACTAAGCCCAGCTTTCTCAGTATGACAGCTGTATCAGGATGCACTCTCATAGTTTGTTTTTCCTGGAATTTTAACTAGGACTGTAAGTGTCCTGGGTCTATTGTCCACCAAGACAAGAGTTTATCTTAGTCTGAAGCCCCACTCAGCACTTTTGCAAACTACATCTTCATTAAAGATTTACAGTTGTGATTAAAACAAATGATGCCTCAGTTATTGCCTTTTACTCTTGTTGCTTTCTTCACTGCTATCATCTACTCACATTTGTATCATTACATTGGAGGGAAGGCTACTCAGTTAATTGGTTATTTGACAGGCTGCCGTATCCTTATTGTTCACTTGTTAATGGTGCTGCACAATTAACAGATTTAAAGGCTAGAGAAGCAAAAAGTGGTCATTGCAATAGTCTCTTCTGACTGCACAAATAATGCAGGGCAATTAACTTCCCTAAATTAATTCCCACTTGAAAGGGAAAACACATTTGGTGGGAAGAAGACCTTTTCCTTAGAAGATTCTTCCAAAGATTCATTTAGTTCTTCTCAATTCATTTAGTTTCATCTTACTGGATACTTTGTGTGTACCATACCAATAGAATGTATTATGCTCCACATACAGATAGTATCAACCTCTAGCAAATGATTTTCAAGTATTTTCCAACCATTTACATTTTTCCAGTAGTATCTGCATCAACTTAAGAGGTAAATGATTTTCTCTCTCTTTATCCATAGCGCCCTACCTATCCAAGTAAGGACTGAGTTAAGAATTGCACTGTACTCCACAATTCCTCAGTCGCTGTGAAAACATTAAAATCTTCATTGCTTTGCATTGTTATTAACCAGTTTTGAAATGTTTCACAAATTAAAAAATCCTCAGAAACCTCCATCTTTTGTATGTTGAGGGTGTTACTCTGTTTACAATCCTCGATAAAGGGCCCAAACATTTAGACTAATAATTTTAAGTAATCTGAATACCACTTAAGACATACTGCCACACACTACTTTAAAGGTTCGGACACACTTTGCAGTTTTGAAGATTCAGAATTTGTTTATATAATTCCACATTTTCAACCTGACCATCCTGAAAAGAAGAATGGACAAAAACTGTATCTTCAAAAAGCTGTATGAACTATGAACATTTTTTGAGTACTCTCTCATTTCTTGTCTTTTTCCTCCTGCTCACATCTTAGCAAGTCTTTTGATTTTCTTAATTTATGACTCCTAAGTCCTTACTTGGTCTCTTTACTAATTTAAGTGTCCCTACAAAGACCAAAACTGGTTTCCTGTCCCAGATACGAGCTGTGGCTCTTCCAATCATAACCTTTAGTCCTGGCTACTTTTTCTTTTCTCCAGTTTTCCTTGTCTATATTAGGACTCTTCCTCCTCCACACTACCTACATCTAAAGAAGGAACTTATTAATAAACAGAGAAAACAGGAAATAGTCATGTAATTATACAATAAAGCACAACAACTATTTCCAATACATAAGAGTACTATTCAAAACACGTGACAGGAAATTTAGAGATTTTTATTCAGAAAAAAATGCAGTCCAGAATTAGAGTAAAATGCAAAAACTGGTCAAATTGCACCTAATCTATTCTAAAAACAGTGAAACCTTTCATTCAGAAATGTTCAGGAGTTCTGTCTCACATCTGTCCAAAATGGAGAGCACTGGCCACATGGAAGAGCCTCAAAGCTTTCCAGTAAGACAATGAGAACACAGACGATAGCACTGCAAAGAGGGTTCCATATTCAACAACTAAAATACCAGTCAGGACTTCTTAATTATATTAAAAAATACACACATTTTGTTTCCATTTTAAATTCATCAGCAATTGTTTTCAACTACCCATGGACAAGGCATAAACACTTCTTGTTAGTACAGTAACTAAGGAAGCAATGAGAGAGTGGGGTGCAGACAAGACAGTCTGCAGAACCTTGCCACATGAAGACTTGGAGGTTGGCCTCACTCTCAAGCACTCCTGCAATGCCTGTTCCCGCTGGGGAGTTTTTGTTAGTGGCATATCATTTTAGAAAAAAACAATTTAAGATCCACTACTATTCCCAAATGTCCAGATTCTCATCCATACTCAGTAGTCCCTATTCCTCATTCTAATAAGGCGTGGTCTCATCACCCTAACCCATAAAAAGTTTTGCTGTGTCAGAAATTGACTTTTGACAGAGAAAATTTCTGTTCAGTATTTGAAAGGCGATGGCAAACAAACTCCAACTTTACTTATCAGTGTTAATTATGTTTCACGTTCCACACAGAGTTAATTGTCTAACTTGAAAATCAGCAACAAAATTTTTGTTTCTCTACAAACAGCTATGTTGGCAATAAATTCCAACTTGCATTAACTATCCTTTCCTATAATAAGATAAGAGAGATTATTTTATTTCTGATAAACACTTGTCAGTTTTATTCATTCCAGTGAGGACAGTAAATGAGGAATGGGGAAGAAGTACACAGAACGAGAGTTAAAGAAGTTTTTGTACCCAAATGCTTTCTGGAAAGCCCAGTTGACCACAAATATGTAAGGTAATTTTCTATAAATATTATCAAGGGGCCAGTTTATTACTGAACTCCCAGTTTAATTCTGAAGCAGACTGTAGAGAAGCGAAGAATAAAGGGATTTCAACCGCAACTTTGAAAACATTTTGTCGTGAATTACATAAGAATTTTGGAGGATGCAATAATATTCCATCCCCTCAATGAAGTGTTCCCCTGCCTCAAGGGAGGGCTTGAAATATTGGTCAAGGATCTGCAGAAGTGACAGAGTCATGCTGCTGTTATTTGAAACCCACTAGTCCTGATGTTCTTGTCTGATACAGTTTCATACCCATTTCAGTCCCCATGCCTGTTAGGCACACAGGCAGCCTGGCAGCTAACTACAGTTTCTAAGTGAGCTCTAGACGTACAGCATCTCTGCTCTACTCTCAATTGTTCATGGCTCATTAAAGAGATTTTCCAGCACTGTTACTGTTCTAATTTAGAATCATGTCAAGGCTGACTAAGCTCTGAATGAACCCCTCATCTTCAGGTCCAAAAAAACCCTATGCTAAATGTTGCAACTGCAGCTGGCACTGGCTGCAAACACATAATTCACAGGGGATTCTTGAGTGATATGTTACAGCTGTGAACAGGAATTTCAAAATACTAGCTAATATTTAAGCACTTGGAAGTTCTTCAGATATGGTAATATATGTCACTTTGACATCTTCGAGGATGAACGTGTTCTTCCCTTTTTCAATTTCCTGCTTGATAAATTCTAAAGAAGTAAACAACAAAAGAATTACCTAACTCATTATCATAAGAAAATCAGATTCTTTGATCAAGTACCTGATATTTTAGTAGTGAACTGATTTGTTATTGGAGGTCCAAAGCCTTTAGCTGTGCTGGCTCTGATGGTAAAAGAGTAGGTGGTGCCAGGATACAGTCCAAAAAAGAGATAGTGCGTTTCATTTCCTAGCTTTGAGACTCGTCCACTTTGATTGGATAAATCTATTTCTGGGTCAAAAGAACTGACTGCTTTGTAGGTGATCTGCAAAAGAATAAGAAAGTTATAAACTGCCTTGAGCAGATGGACAGAGATTGCATCTTTATCCAGTAAACCCTCCTGATGTATGCGCTGTCAGACATTTTATGATAAGTTATCTTCCTCTCTTATACTCTTCAAATCCCAAATCCCGCAAAGGGGCACAGGAACTGAGTCGTAACTCGTATGAGTTATTACTTTTATAGATACAGAGACTTAGAGGCAGCTAGATTACAACTCTAAAGGATGGGTTCAGGCTTACATTAATTCCTTCAAGATGCTGGATTTAACAGTGTCACATTTTGAATTCATCTTAATGTTGGTTTTGATCAGCACGAGTAACAAAACCAAAGCAAACAGGTAAAAACAGAGAAGTGACCAAGAGGGGGTATAGCCCCCCCAGTTCCAGCTGACTTTACTATAATTACACTTTACCCTCAATAAGGTTATCTGTAAAAGATGATAAGGGCAGCTTAAGGCAAACTTTTCAGAAATTGGGTAACGCTTCTATTTTAGTCTGAAGCTTAGCTATTACAATTGCTAATTTGGATTTTTTCAGGTTATTCTATTGTACCTAGGTCAGATTCTCATTTGGAGGGAAGAAGAGATAAATGTTAAGTAATATATGCAGAGTGTATATTGTATCCCCAGTTCCTTCCTTGATTCAAACAGTATTTTTAGTTTTCATTAGAAATGTTAATGTAAGTTCACAGTAAAACTTGATCCAGACTTCTTCTATTAATTACTGATTTCTATGCACTGTAATGAGAATTTAAAAATATGGACACCATTTAAAAATATGAAAGCCGAAAAAAAATTAGAAAAGTAAAAATTATTCACCCCTCCTTTTTGCTTTTAAAGTTTCATTTTTATGTGAATAATTCCAAACCCCTTATTATATAAAGTGATAATAGACATTCTTTTTGCTATACTTATTCAATATAATTTTAATTAAGAAGACCGATAATACAGCAAATAGACACCTCCAAGTGTCAGTGTTACACACCTTAAACACTTGCAATTTCCTAAAACCTCTGACCTAATGAAAATTGATTTTTATATGAGCCATATAATGTAACACCAATGAAGTGTTGAAAATTAGTAATAAAAACCTTCATACTATTCAGATAAACCCTGACCTTATTACAGCAGATATAGGCATATCCTCTACAAATCCGCATCCATAAACTGAACTCAAGGTGCCTTGAAAAGCACCCAACTAACCCTTCTACTTCTAACAGATGACAGAAGATTGAACCACCAACTGTCTGAACATTTATCAATAAGGAAATTAAGGTAACATACTGCTCACATCAATCTCCCTATCTCAATACAGCTGATGGAGTTATGTGTGTGTACATTTAAGGATGAACTGCCCGGATACAGTGAGTGTACTCAGCAATGGAATTAGACATGCAGGCATGTTCCTAAGTAGAAATGGGATCTACCACTGTGTGTTTCTATGTACATAAATCTAGCAACAGTAACAACATTAACACTTAACTAAAACATTCTGATCCCTGAATACAGGCAACTGTTTTGGTAGCTATAAAGTTGTTAGCTTTACAAAAATCAATTCATACTTTTTCATAACATTTTATCCTCTTACAATAAAGTAGTTTTCAAAACAGTATCAATAGGTTACCATTCAATTTAACTTTTCTTTTACACTGTATCTCATTTAGGTGGGTTTTTTTAAACAAAGCATTTCAATACCAATTTTGTAGTAAGGTCAGGTAAGAAGCTTAACAGTGATTACTGTCTGACAGCTTAATCTGTGCAGTCTTTTGTCAATTTTTCTAAGAGGTATTCAGGCAGAGCTTCCACATGAGAAAAAGCAGTGATTTTTAGACATCTAACAACATACAATTTCGTTGAATTTGCATTTTAAAAAAGCTAGATTTTTTTAAATTATGCCTGCTTGTTTCTGTTACAATAGGCTTCCTATAATGAAGCCTATCTAAATGTGACGTTGACTGTAACCACTGTCTTATATCTCTTATTTTTTAAGAAATTTGCTAAGATCTGTCCTTCAATCTTTAAAATATTTGATCTAGAGTACTAGATGGAATGCTATTGGTTCTAGATATAGCAGGTTTCTTAAAACTGGCACCTTAAGGACATGCTGAGTCCTGCATAATCCACTCCTAAATTCTATTTACTTTTAAATGGCTACTGGTTTTAAAATGAAGTTAATTTCACATAAACTGTGAGAACATATTATTTTTTTTTATGATTATGCACTTTGGAAAATCAAAACCAGACATAAAAAGTGGCAAATTTCTAGATACCTCATACAAAGTAATCACACCATATGTTTGCGCTGGCTCTCTCCACTGAAGAAAAATCTTCTCTTCGAAGGTACTCCCTTGAATGGATTCAAGTGGCACAGCACTTGGGACTAACAGATTAAAAAAAAACAAAAAGAAAAAAGTGGTTTTAAGAAAAATCTCAGAAGGACACACTCTGTTTAAATTCTTGTACTGCTGAGGCATGAAAAGCATCCCACCATAATTTCCCCAAAGACTGAAGCAAAGGCCAGGGTAGCTCAGGAGGAGAACGATTTATTTAACAAGACAGTGCCATTATGCGTCACCTTCAGTGTGAGAACAAATTAGTGAGCATCACACATTTCCTGTAAACCTCTACTGATAATTAAAAAAAAGGACAAATCAGGTTTTTTTAAGGAACTAGGTGGTATCTCAAATAGGAATTTTTGCAAGTAAAATCTACTTGTGATATCTACTTACCAACAGTGTTACTTCCCCAAGGGGAAAACATATTAAACATTCATACACAAAAATGGACAAGCATTGAAATAACAAGTTATACTTCCAGAAGACAGAAACAGAAAAGTTATCTTGGAAAGATGAGCTACATATTGCATTGAACAACAACACTCACTGACAGCACGCCTGAAAACCTACAACACAATGGACATAAAAAATGTGAAACGGTCAAAGTAAAAATCTGACATTATTAATTTTTCTTGAAGTCTCAATGTGGGAGAAAGACATGTGAAGAGTCAGGGATATCAGAAGGTTCTGATTAAATGTATGCAAGCTGCTCTCAGGTATCTACTTGTGTTTGCCATTTGTTCTGCAACCATTGCCTTATCCCCAGACAATGCAATTTTCAGAGGAGACATGGACATGTATCTGTGATTCTTTTGTAACAACACTGGCAAAGTAATGTCAAAAAAAGAAATCCAGAAAAGCGCACACAGGACTGTTGTGAAGCAAAAGGTGTTATGGCATCAGCACTTTTACAGGAACTCCATGTGAAAATCCAATAGAAAGATACACATAACATCTTCTATTTGCCACAGAAAGAAGGTGGAAGTGACTTGCTGGAGTGGTTGAAATAACTTCTCAAACCCTTTCCTGAGATTTGCTTGAATGGTTAAGGAATAGAAAAATCTGCAAGCAAGACATTTAGTGACTCCTTCCTGTTGGCATTTCTGGTACAGAACTTCCTTTTCCTACAGTTCCATGCTGAGTTTACAAGGTCTAAGGCTTTTTAATCATCTGTCCATAGCTCTCCAGAGAGCTCCTTCCTCTACCAAGGGGAAGCTCCAAGGATACAGGTTCTGAACTGGCTTACCAGTCCTGTGTGCACCAGTAAAATGACAACTTTAGGGAAACCTTAATTCTGGGCACTAAACCTTGTTTCCAGGTAGGAGAGAACTGGCAAAACTCATTTGGAATTTTGAGATTAATGATTTATGTGTAAAGGAAGAGGAATAAAATATAGTGTAAATAAGCTGGAAGTAGAGCAAAGCACTGTGGTAACCTCTCAAGTTATCTGAAGGTCATAAACTCTGAGCAGTTGTGACATACAGGGGTGGTTCAAACACTGGCAGAGGTCACCTAGAGATGTACTCAAACTCAGCTGTACAAGGCCTTGAGCAATCTGCTATCACTTGATCTTCTGTGAGCAGAAGGTTGGACTAAATGAGCTCTGGAAGTCCCTTGCAACCAACAAAATCCTGTGATTTGAAAAATTATGATGATTATTTGGGTTAGCATACTCTTCTGTTTTATACTCAGACTTACATACTTCACTGAATGTGTACTCTACACTAAAAAGGTCTAATTTTTTTCAAGGTATTCTCTCAAGACACTGACACTGGTTTTTAATAGGTCCTGAAATAACATGAAATTCAAGAGGGACAGGAACTAGACATTTTAAATAAAACACAAAATCATCCCAGACAACAATAAGCTCTTTAGTGTTGTCACCCTACAATTGGACTGAATTAAATTTAGAGCATGACAGCACAATTAATTCTAATTAAACATTTTTCTGTTAGCTATGCTTTGCTGAATAAGCTGCATTAGTAACTGCATATTCCTAAATTGTTTAATTTATTCCCTCATATATTTTGATTAGAAATTAGTACTACATAAAACCAATACAGCATGCATTAAATAATTTAATAGGCTTAAATGACAGACTTCAAGTATTTATTATAAAAGAAGCTCATCATTGCTGAAGTTTTTACTAGAAATATTTCCATCATATTTTAAGGAAATCTATCATTGATCTGGAAGAAAATATAAATCCATTTGTGTTTAGATTTCAGACTATTAAAATGGAAGGAGGAGAGATTTGTTACATAAAGCAATGCCAAGTCATTTGAAAAGTTTCCTTTGGACTGTATATATTTGAAAATACATATAATACATTTGAAAATAAAACCAAGTCCTTTGGACTGTATATATTTGAAAATACATATAATACATTTGAAAATAAAACCAAGGTCAAAAAACTAAGGTACACTTGTAAGGGGCTATATATCAGCATAGAGTATTCTGGAAAGGTGAAACTGATTCCTGGTGCATGACCAATTCAACAAGGAAGTCACATTTTGGCATTGTAGCTAACAGAGGTTCAGTAAACTCTCTGCATGTGTAATCAAAACAATATCAGAGAAGACCTGAGAGGATGATATAACAATATTTATAAAATATTACTAGAGCATTGCAGAGAATTATTTATTATTTATTATTCATCAAAATAGAATGAGTTTTAAAAAAGTATCTGAAAACCCCATATGAGTGGAAAATCAATAAAAGGAAGAGAATAACTATGTATTTCAATGTCTGCATAAGGAATATAGTGTCTGAATTAGCAACACTGTCCAGTGGTTAGAAAGCCAAAGACAGAGAAACCGAAACTGCCAATCAAGAGGAAATATTTAGTGCAGAGCACATCACCCAGTAGAGGAGCTTCCATAAGGATACTGCTGACAATCACCTGAAGATTCTTCAAACTGATACTGGAACTTTAGAGAGGGAGAACATAGTTCAAGCAGAAGTTACAAGTTTAATGATGAAATAATTAAACTATCGTGGGATGTTATAGGTTATGTGAAAGATCACTCTAATAATGAAGTTTTATAAAAATTGGTGAGGCTGGTATAAAATCTGTTACAAATTTTAATGAAAGCAGAACATGCACATATACAGAAAATGTATGCTCTCGGGTCATGCACCATGTATACGTAAACACAAAAACTCACCATCTTCATCCGTTTGCACGACAAGTTCTTGGCTTTCTTTCCGTCCTTCGGGATTCATCAATACTAATTTGATGCTGACATTTGTGTATGGTGATAGGTTGGTAATTGTGTGCTGGGGATGTGAACTCTCTGTATCCCAGCTGACTTCCTCTCTCACTTGCTCCTGTCCTCCAGCCTGGTAGCGGTAATGGACTGTGAGGTTGTAGCGATGGCAACGTGTGACATTATACCCAAATGGCTCCCAGCAAATAGTGATCTGCCTAGATTTGATCTCCACAACCTCCAGTCTTCGTGGCCCACGCATCGGATCTGCAAAATTACCAGCATAATTCTGGTGTGATTACTTCTTCGTATTATAATAGTCACATGAGAAGGAAGTTGTACGGTTCTTCAAGTATGACAGATAAGGAGAAACAGAAATCCATTGCTTCATAGAATGGCTTTATAAATATATATACATAATAATATACAGTATTTTATATATATTATATAGAATATTATATAGAATAATAGAATACTATGTATAGAATAATAGAAGCATAGTCTCTGAAAAAACAGGAAAAAACGGAGAAAAGAGTGAGCAGTGTCTTCCGAAAAACGAAGAGGAAACAAAACACTCTAAAGTTCTTATGATTCAACTCAAATTGCATGATACATGTGAGATGACACTTTTTTACCTATATGTTGCTGGCAAAAAGTAAGCATGACCGATTTCTTTTGCACAAGTTATTTGTATTAACACTTTCAGAGCAAAAACCTGCACAAAACAAGTATCTAAAAAGAAAACTCATTTCAGAGTAAGCTTGCAAATATTTGTTGATTTTCTTGCAGGACTGTTCATACAAAGGCTAGATAACTCTTCAGCTACTTATTATTTATTTGTTTTTAACTTAGGCTGAATGCAATTTCTCAGTCTGTTTGTCCAGGACATTACGTTGATATTCCAATTTCTTTAGAACAGATCATAGGGTTTCTTCCCACAAAAACATTAGCTGTTAATAGTGCAAATACCTCAGAGTGTTATAGTGGTTTAGCAAAGATACAAAACAAACAAGATATTCTCCTGCATCTGTGCTTTTCTAGAGATTTCCCAGCTGAAAATAAGCCATCAGTAAAAACTACCAAAATCTATATACAAGCACCAAAGATTGAGATAAACTTAAATTTTTCTCAGTCCTACTGGTCACAGCAAATGAGACAGAAAAGTGAATTAAAATTTCCACCATATTACAGCAGAAACACTGAGCTGACACCCCCTACGTTTTCAAAACACTGTCATTAACAGAGCTATTATACATATTTAGCAATAATCTGGGGTTTTTTTCATATTTCAGTCCTCAAAAAGATTAAAGACAATGTCAGGTTTTATCCACTGCTTCACTAGTTAAACACTTAGAAGACTTTTAATGAGTTAGAGCACTCTTATACGTAAACAAATTAATATGCATCTTCCTCCTTTTATGTTTATTAATCAACATGTCTTCACTAGGAATGTTCTAAACAATTTACACAGGATTTCATCTTTTTACTTTTTAACATAATCCCTGCATGCTTGAAATATTTGTTCAAAGACGTTATTCATCTTAACTCCTTGAAGAAAAGGTGTTAAGAAATTGCTTGTTCTAACATCTACAAAGAAGGATATTTTTTTTCCCCTTTTAAATCATCCAGCTGCTTTTTAAATTTCTTTAAATTAATTTTCACTGTCAAACAATGTTGATAACCAATATAGAATATTTGGCAATTGGTGAAAAAATGGAAAAACAAACCAAATTCTAATCCTGGTCTCCTTTCTAGTGACTTGACTGAGAGGTAAAAATGTCTCCACTAAGCATAAATTGATGTCGAGCCATTTATTTGCTTCCACATTCAGGCATCCCACCTAAGAATTCTGGCATCTGGGAGCTTTGCCACATTTCTCTTGCTACCACAATTAAAATTTGTATGAAGCAAACCTCAAGGACTGGCATGTGGACTCGATAATTTCCTAAACATTTACTTCTGTGTAGTTCAGACATAAACTTAATGGAAAATGAGTTTTCCTGTTTTGTTTTTTTTAATTTAATTTCAGCTTCTAAGATTTTTTTGTTTTAGGTGAGATGATGAATAGCAAAGGACACTTGAGAGGTATTGTGTAACTGTAATTGTATCTGAATGGGCTAAACAGAAATAAAAAACCAACAAAATTGAGGTGACCCTGACATACAACATTAAACAATTGAACAAAGCTCCTGGCTGCAAGAATATGGAACAGCCTGCTTAGCTCCACAGTGGGCATATCAGAAAATTCACAGGGGAGCTGAGAAATCATTTTGTTAGAGACGTAAACCTAATTCATAGCATTTTAAAAGAGAAATTGAGTGGCTGTACAAAATATATGGATCAAAACCTATCCAAGATTTCTGCCCAGGACAAAGGTATTCTTATGTCATGTTACCTTAATGTTACCTTAGCCCTCTAGTTAAATCTAAGAGAACGACACCTACATTTTCACCTCCAACAAAAGAGACAAAGGAAAAAGGAGCTTAGATTGTAAAAGATAGAGACTATGCAGCTTACCCTTGATATTCACAGGACAAAGCTCATCAGACAAGGCCAATACCCTGGTTGCTTTGGCTCCTGACTTGATTCTGTAACCCACAGCATCAGATAGGTAGACAGCTTGTGTCCATTTTTCCTACCATTCATTCATTCATTCAGAGATTATGCAACTAACAGGGCCCTAATGAACCCTGTTGTTAATGACTGTTTTAATGGCGCTATTTTTAACCAGAAAAAAAAAAAAAAAAAGGCTAAGGTAATAACAGAATTTTGGGATTAAAAAAGCCACGTGGCTCAAAACAGCCCTGAAAAATAGTAGTTAGTGCAACGAAAGATTAGAAAATGAAGCTTCAATTTGATCAATTTAGCAACTAAACTGAACTTCTCTGGAGGTATCACTGTATACGACAGAGGAAATATTTTGCAGAATGGAATCACAGAATTGTGAAGATTAGAAGAGATCTTCAACATCATCAAGTCCACCTGATAACACAGCACTGTCACTGTAACCCCTAAACCACTAAACTGTATCATCCAGTGCCAGATCCTGATGCCTCTAAGCACCTCTAGGGACTGTCACTCCCAACACCTCCCTAGGCAACCTATTCTAATGACTGACCAGCCTAACTGTGAAAAAAAAATTCTAATTATCTATCTATCTATCTATCTATCCATCCATCCATCCATCCATCCATCCATCCATCCATCTCTAATGTAATATGGTTCTGAGAGCACAGCACATCACTTCCAATACACTGGAAGGTATATGCTCTTCATCAGGCAAGATGCAGGATACTTGGGGAATGGTATCTGTTAAGCAGCACTAAAAACATGACAGCTAATGACCGTGACTTAAAAGGGAAAGCTGAATTAATTGCTACAGCATGATGCATTCAGTTAGTTGATTTTATTTTCTGCAGAATTTATCCTTCCCATGGAGAGTTCCCAACTTTAAGTGAAGTAGGCATCCTTCAGAGACCCTGCTATTGTGCTCATGAGACTTGCAGTAACTATCCCTGTGAAGTGGAAGGCTGTCATCCCAGCAATGGTCTGCTGTTGTTATTTTGCACCAGGTAAGGTAAGTGATAGCTACACAGAGAAGTGTCATTTCACAGTTTTGATCACAGCTGAAATCACACCTTCTAGAGCAGAAGAACAAGGAGATCAACACACCACACCGACTGTATTATATACAACATATGCAGTTCATAGCACGAGCACCATTTGCTGAGCATTTGCCACCTCCTTGCTCAGTAAATGCCCACCTGCAGGAGTTACACAGCCAGATCTCTCCACCCACTGCAGATTTCTAAGTGAACCGAGCTCCTCAGTACTCCAGCTATTTTCTTACACCTTACTGGTACAAATCATGAGGCAAATGGGGAAAATGAGGCTGCCCAACTCATAAGAGAAAAGGTTTTCCTCCCAAAGGAACACACTGTCTGTCAAGCCCTGAAGCTCAGCCAGGTAGTTCTTTACCCATTCCCCGGCTGGTGCCTGCAGCATTTTTCATACTGCTCTTCTGCCAGGTTCAGCAGGGAATCAGGCAGTGAATTCTGACAGTTGCAGCTCTGACCTGAGGGACCAACAAGCCTGGTTCTAGCCCTTGGCAATTTAGCATCCCGTTTAATCGGTGATCTTGGCTCCTTCTCTGCTTCACTCTGTTTTCCTGAGAATATGGAGCACAGACTGACAGACAGGATCAATTTCCATTGCAGCTGCAATTCACAGCTCATTTCTCTGGAACTTCACTCTTTACCTTTTACCACAAGTACAATGCTTTTTCAGAAACTCAATTTCAGAATCACAGAGACATTTAAGTGTATTTTTAGCATCCCATCATTGATCATCAAAACTTGGGCTTAGGATGAAAACTCAAGACTGGAAGTTTTGTCTTTTCATCACAGCCTGCACAGACCTGCTGAGATAAGAAAGGAATGGCATGGTGATTTTTTGCCACTCCATGGTACTCTGGTAGCTACAGACATCTGGTATGTGTTAGATACAATTTGAAAGGCACCTAACAATAGGAATTAAGAATTTATTTCTTGTCTAGGCAAACTATTAGTGGAGTTTAGCTATGCAACAACTCTCAGGACTGAAATTTCAGACCAGACTATTGTCCTTCCACAGAAAGTTAGGGATGGATAGAATAGGATAATATACAAATTTAAGATGAAAATTGAATCATTTGAGATTTAAGTTATCCACTATACAGCTTTTTATAACACAATAGTTAATTAATAATTAAATGTAAAGACTGCTTTACAGACTGCCTAAGCAGTCATGTTCAAATCACTTAACATCTTTTCACATCAATTCCCTCTGAGTAAAGTGAGAGCCACAGTATTCTAGCACCAGTATCTGAGGGTGTCACATAGAATTTCATGAACACCTGCAAGGAGCTTGCACGTTACAGTGATGGAGACCACCTACAGGGGAACAGAAAACATGGCTTGTGAGCCAGCTGCTATCAAAGTAACAACATTTGGTTTGTTTCTAGAAAACAAAACAAGTCTCTACATTTGTATACATCTACAGTCAACACCAAACAAGAATATAGGTAAAATAATTTACTTGTTTGGCTTGTCCTCAATTGATTTGAAATCTAATCTGCACATGACTGCTAACAATTCAAGGTTGTTTGCAAACTTGGTAAGACAGTTTTGTAAATGATCACATTCAACTGTGATGGTGTGATTTTTACACTGCAATTATTCTTCCTCTGAGTTCTTCAACAACAGATTGAAGTTCAAAAAGGGCTCTTC